TTTCGGGCGCTACATCAGCTAGGATGTTTACAAGCATGCATAAATTAATATTTGAACAGTCGTCCGGTACACGTTATACTTTAAACTTTTACACAGACCGCATGGTTATCTTCTCACCTTACGTACCTACAGACCCCAATGCTAGATAATAACCTATGTCCCCCTTAACACTATATAAGTATTTACATACACATCACCAATACGGAAACATGGACCATACCAATTCTGCCAACACACACATAAGCTGTTCCTAATCAACATTAAAAATTTCGTTCAATCACTAGTCTGGCTTTTCATGATCATAAGGCCTCGATGGGAGTATACACTTCGTTAATGACTCGAAATATATGAAGAATTGTGACTGCCTTAATTAAGATACGATTCTTCTTCTCTCTTGCTCTCCGACAGGGATACTAGTTGGACGGAAAAATACCCAAATAAACCATTAAGTTACTATAAACACCACCAAACAGAATCCTTACATAAAAATCACGATCACTAGTCAGAATCACCACGTATTCAAAAAGAGCAACTACGGACAAACAAGTGTGGCGCTCCAGGACAAACCTCTGCCTATGTTATGTGAACCACATGCACCGGATTATGCGCAAAGCAATATTAAGACACTACCGGTGGTTTCATACATTCCGTTTATCTTATCGCCAAAACATGGTCGATTCTTTGACTTTCCCAAATACTTATATAACATCCGAAACATCTATAAATTTTATCAATAAGTGACCGCAGCTTAGTACTACGATAGTAGCCTAAAACAACCCGGTCCACAGAACTTCCTCACGATCGTCTACAGCTCCGTGACAGAACCGCAAGATGAAAAAACCTGAGGAGGGCAAACCAAATGACCTTTCATACGAAACTCATTATGCAGTGCTACGCTTAATGGTGCTGTATAAACGACTTAAGCGCCTATTATCCTTAATCCACCTATGAGAATTCGATATGCTAAGGAGATACGTCGTCGCATATCTAACCAACTCATAAAGAGCAGCACGAGGCGTTGCTCTCTATTTACTTTCCCTGTTGATACACCCATAGCTGGCTATGCGCTTGTTCTAAATACCTACTTTATGATATGTGGTTTCGTCCTTTGTTCAAATTATCTATTTTTTTATTGCAAAAAATGCTTTCTCACTTATCTGGGATCACTTCTACTATTTTTCTCATCGGTTTTTTTCTGCCTTTTTGCTGTATTATTTGTTTTCGTAGGCAAGAAAATCAGTCATGAAAACATGACCACGACTTGCATTTTTCCTGATATGAGATGCAGACGAAAAAAATACACACATAAATTATTGATATGCCTAATTCACGTGACCTTGCAGTAAGAACATGGTTGTGCATCTAAAGCGACTTCTTTCACTAATATAAACACTGAAGGGCATTGCGATGTGTGAATGTCACACTATGAGTACCCTTCCGTGTCTGTGAACTCTCTTACTTCCCAATTTAGGGCCGAATTCATTCAAATAATTCATGGTGGAAATCCACATCACAATTTTAGAAAAATACGTACTCCCTGCCCGGTATATGCAATACTGCCAATACTGTTTGAATGAGAACTCGCAACGTGACAAAACGGAGGTTTGTGTTTTTTTTTTTTTTTTTTTTTTTTTAAAGGGACCATATCCTTAAAATCAGCAGACCGTAACTTCAAAACTGGACCTGGGCTACGAATGCATGCAAAATATTGGTTCTCGGAATTTAAATTGAAAAACATGTACTAAACCCATCAGAATTACTACCATTGACGAATTACGCATGAAAGACATGATGATATATATTTTTTTTCCGAAGATAAAGGTCGAAGATTAACCCATAACTGACCTATTCTAACAAAAGATAACTAAAAATCTGGAACGTCTCAAGTACTAGTAGCACAAGAAACTACACTTATAAACTAATATGAAACCCTAATGGAAAACCACAAAAAAATTGCACATAATTGGAATTACTACATTCGTTTTGCCTACTACAAACAACGAAATTTTCAACATCCTTACATTTTCGTTTGACATGGTTGATCCTCCCGCCTGGTACGATCTCGCCAAGGATTAGCCTTGCGAAATAGGAAAATAATATCAAAATACAGTCACAAAAATTAATATGAAAATACCCCAAAAAAAATGATGGAACAGTGGCACGGTCCCGACACACCCTTAGCTACATATGCTCCTTGCCAAAAAAAACAGTCCATTTGATCCCCCTCCCAAACTTTTGTAAATATAGATATAGATATTACTTCGAAGTTAGAGTACGCCTAGAATTTTAAACACCACATAACACGTCGCACAACTCACTTATTGACCAGCCGTCAGAAACCAATATGCCCTACGAAGATAAATATTATCCCAGGTTCATACACACATACGTAGCTCAATTAATCATTGGTGCACCAAACTAAAGAAAACAAAATGATCTCTTTATATTAAATCAAAACAGCACATAATACAATCTTTTAAAGCTATTTCAAAATAATAAAAATATTAAAAAACAAGATTATATTAAAAAAAAAAAATATATAGAAATATAATTTTTTATAGATAAAAATAAAATAAGATACAAACAAACACAATTTTTTTAAGAAAATAAAATTAGAAAATTTTCATGGTCTGCTTCAAACAAACATAGATGACCCACATTTTTGCAATGCACCGAGCCCACTCTGTACAGGCAGGAAACTGAAAACACACATCCTGCCAATTGTACCCTCATAAAAAATGATGGGCCAACTAAAACTGCACACAACTAAAAGTGGCCCCGTAAAATCTTGCCCAATTACATGTCCACGCGCAATTCCTCATGGAGATAGGGACGTCCGACCAAAGGCGCATCCAGTATCGCCTCCCATTCCGCAATCCCTATCATGCGACCATCATGCTCTGAAGCTATCACTGATAACAGTAAACGAATAATTCGCTCGATAATGTCTTCCCCCCTACCACGATAACTGTCCGGTACATTGCCATGTAACTTTGTCACAAAAATTGTTGCATCTCATAAATCATCACCTACATAGCCCAGACCTAGATCTAAACGTAATACCAATTCTCCATTTGCATCCACCTCATACTGACGATAACCATGACGGTTGATGGCCTCCACGAAGCCAAAATTACGATCCGGACGATAATCACAATGCTCTAACATCTCGTACACCACAATTGTACGACCCGCCACCTGACCGCGACAGACTACAACTGTTGCCATTGTTCACAAAAAAACATTGGCCCCCCCTCCTCCCCTTGCTTGCACTTGAAAAAACAACCTCTATGTCGCTTTTGCCCTCCGCCCCGTCACCACTACACCCCCTCTGAAGAACGCTCACGATCGTATCCAATCATCCACCTCTAGCCAAGCGCATGCACGACCTCCTCCTGTTACTTATACAACCGATCCCCGGATACTAAGCTTACTTTCACAAAAATACCTCCAATCCCCGCACGCTTGCTGCCCCTCCTTCACGTCCCTCGCCCCCTCCACGCCCTATAAACGAAACTACACCAAATGCGCATCCGAACCACAAACTCACCACCCACTCCTATAGCTTACCAGATTCACATCCCTCTCACCCTCTGCTTCCGTTCTCTCTCTTTCCCTCAACGTCAGCAACCACATACTCATCCCTTCCACTAACTTCGAACCAAACCCACACAAAAAAATCTGGATTACGCTGTTGCAATTGTGCGCTCCTTAGCACTCGCCTATCATGCCGCAATGATAACGAGTCAGAGCATGCCTCGCTTCCAGTACCTACGCCTTTTTATACTCTGCTACGCTAAAAAGTCCACACCCATACAACCTCGCTGTGCAATAAAAATTCCACGAACCAAAGGTACGTAACGACAAATGATACAACCCACGCATACCCCTCTTAAAAGAGAGATCCCACGAAAATATAGCTACTATGAATGCTCTCGCAACCACATTTTTTGACTTCGCAATGTATAGATTTTTTTTTTATTTTTTTTTTTAAGATGCACGTATTAAGCCTTTTTCATAAAATGTTTTTTTCTTTCATAATTTTTTAAAAAAAAATTATAAATCTTTTTAAAAAATAATATATAAAGTAAAAAAAAAAAACAAAGTAAAAAAATTAAAAATTAAAAAAATATAATAATAAAAAATTAAAATTTTGCAAAGAATTAAAAACAAACATCAAAATAAAATAGATAACTCTCCTAAAACCCTTCCTAATAAATAGCTAGAGGCCTCGCACCCCCGGAGCCATATAAAGGATATGAAGAAACCATACCAAGATGGTTTCACATACCAAAGCAACGAACCTCACAGATACTCACAACCGGTACACACCTCTTTAGTTGACTCCTCCACATGCGCTACCCAATCCTATACCCAACCACAAAACCATATGCATAATACAGGCGTTCCCCATCTAAGCACTATTTAAGTAGACAGGCATAAAAACTCAAACTACGTACCCCGTCAATAATAAACGATCTTTAATTTTGTTATAGAATCTGGCCAAACTGCCTGTTTTGCCCACATCGCCAAAAATAGGATTGGAATACTGCAAAACACTAACCCCTTGCGCGCATGTAAAATTGTGTAGGATCAGAACAATATCTTAATGGGATGACATCCAGAACTGGTCTCTGCCATTAGACCGTTCTCTACCCCCAAGCCACCCATCGTGCACTTTTAGATAGCCATGCTGGCTATTCCTGCTGATGTTCTGCTGCGCGTGCATCAGACCATTAATGGATAGGCTCCCTTCTTAATAGAGAACCTCTCTTTTAGCGACTAGGCCACCATGGTTGCCGTAATGCAGACCAGACCCCACGAACTTGATGACATGATCAAAGAGCTTGTCTCCAACATCACAGAGGCCTGCAAGAGGGCGGCCATGGAGAACAGAAAATTGAACCTCATCGTCGCCAAGGGCGAGAAGGTCATCCTCAGCATCCATGGGTACGACACCTCGCATCTGGACAGCGATGGATAAATCTCAACCAATGAGAGCGCAGAAACCTTTACAGAGACAGACATCAACAACATCTCGTTAACGCAAGTAGAACTAGAATACTTCAAAAGGAAGGAAGCAATGAGAAGGGACTGCGCCCACCTCGACATCTCCACGGTGGCCAGAGACACTAGCCATAAGTTCAGCAAAAACAGCCCCTTCCTACCGCTTGCCTCAAGCACGTGGACGGAAAAGGTTGTTCAACGTGTACATGACCGAATATGGAAGTTGGACACGTTTAACTATACTGCACCAATCAGTGTTGATGCCTACATGACACTTGCCGGCCTGAGCAGTGCAGATATACTGAACTGCCGAACTGCGGCCAAAAACGCCACAATCCACTTCCCTGTCGGAAGAGCTGGATTGGACGTTGACTTCCCGCTGATGTCCAAACTGGAGAAGGGCAAATGTCCGCAGAAGCCGCTGCTGCACCAGAAAGGCATCCCCAGGTTTCCAATGGACCTGCTAGAACTCAAGAAATTGTGGAACGCCGGGAGACGCTTTCTCAAATGTGCATGCACAGGATGTGAGGTAAACTTCATATGGCCGGATCACATGCTCTGGTACGTCATCGGCAACCTTGACAAATTGGACCCGCATGCACCTTCAGACAAGATCAAGATGCTCGAGTTCCATGCCTTGCTGCACACCACATGGAGAAAGTCGATCCTGGCTCAGATCACGTTCCTCTTCATGAGAGAATACATGATGAAGATTGTGCACCTCATCACGCAGAATAAGACGATTACTGCTGAAGAGATCCTCCACTTCGAAGACTTCAAGGACGTGTCGTTCGTACGCAAGTTCACTGCAACACTCCTCCCCCATGCGGAAGGTATCCTAACACCAAACGCCGCCAGAAGGAACGGAGCCGTTGACTATGAAGATAACTCGTTGCGCAGATGCCGTCAAATGCGACTAGGTACCCCCATCCCATGATCTCTTGCAACACACGCACCGCTGACATCCTTCGCACAACAATCGCAGTCACCCATTCTCAAATACAGTTGCAACAAGGACACCAGCACACTTGACCCCCGCACCCACAACCGGCTCCATGCCCCCCACGGCTGCCCCCACCACAACACCTGACACACTGCGACAACCTGTATCGGGCACACAACAACATTCCATTGCAAACACCTCACCATCACACACCCCACCACAACACAGCACATCTGGCGCAGAACACATGCTGCAAAGCAACCACAACACACAACAACCCTCTGCAACTACCACACACAATTATCACTCCGCACCCCGCCCCGATCTGCAAACTGGCCCTCAACCACTCCCCGCCCTCACTTCCCCCAACCAATGGGCCAACCAGGCCCCCACCATGTCACAACTTCAAGTTAACGCCTCCACCCTCGCCGTTGCACAACATTCTGCCAGAAATACCATCGCGACAACACCAAATGCGAACCATACGGCCTCCATCCTCGCCATCCAAAGAACTACCGGCACAAACAGCTACAGCTCACCTGGTCACATGACCACGTACGCTGTATTCACACCCACCAGTAACAATCACATCGTTGCCCCACCTGCACCTAACCACAATACAGAAGCAGACATACTGACACGGAGAAGAGAGCAACTGCTGAGCATCGCAATGAACCCACTGCCCAACCCGCAAAGACACAACACCCGAAGGGCTAACAAGACGAGTAGGCTGCAGCACTGCAAAATAGCAAGCAAAGGCAAAAGCATGCAAGGCATGGTCAGCCGCAAAGCGATTACCGCCAGCCAGATATGCACGACTTCCTCCACACCCAGCCACTGCGACAAAGCACGTCCACAACCCACCAGCTACCCCTAGCAACCCGACAACTAGCCGCTATACACAGTATCCCCACCACCAATGCAGCTGCTCCTTCCCAAGCAGACCCGCCACCCCATCCTGCACACACATGGTTGCCACCAGCCAAACAATTGATCCACCAATGGCCTCAGAGACATGGTAGGGAAAACATACCCGAGCAACCTCCAGCACAGGGAAATCCGGAAATCATCCAAGTTAGCAGCAGTGAAATCAACGAGGGCGAAAGACTGCAGCTCCCCATCATTATCAGCTCGCCATCGCAAGATACACCGCTACAGCCTACATTCGCAATTGAGGCACTCAGACACAATTACGGTGTCAGTAGTGTTGAATCTTCACTACTAAGGACCTCCAGAGACCAGACAACTCTTGGTGCCGAATCTGCGACATCTGAAGATTCATGGAAGAGAGTCTGTCGCAGACTCAGCCCCGACTACCAATTCGGCATTTCAAGCATCGCGAATAGCTAGAACTACTTGTTCTGCTCCTCTGCTGAGCTGATACGATACACCAAGATAGCCCTTTTTGACTAAGAATAACACAACCTATTCAGCTACATAGAAGTATACCGCTACATAAATGGAAATATACATATAGGGAGGTTATAAACAACATTGCTGCTATACAGACGGAAATAAAAAATCCTGGTAAATAAGACAAGTAGGTCTAGTACGTAGTTAGTACTAGCACAAAGTCCAAATTCTAGTGAATTCGGAACGTAAAGCTCCGTCAGTCTGAGATAGAAACTTTGTACTGAGCATTCAAAGAACGAACTCGAAGATGCCATAGTCTCCAATTTATTGGTCACTGACTTGATCTGGCACAGGGTTCTGAGACTAAATAAGCAGGAATAATACGCTGGTATGATCCAGCCTTTAATTACCTTCATGCCGAAAAGCTGTTTTTTGTATAAATTTTGTTTCAAATTGCAATAATTGACCCCACACCTGCAGTCCTTGCGCCACTCAAAAAGTTGTACCCTACCTACATAAACCCAACGTCCTCCTCACTCCCCAAACCCATCAGCTGCACCTATATACACCCATACTGTATAACACATGTCCCGTTCGCCACCTCCAAATCATGCTTCGCCCCACACCACCAAGTCCAACCCCCCATACCTTCACTCCCCGCCACCATATGAATTCACACTCAAATTCTGGGTCAAGCATACCCATTCTTACGAATATGTGACCACTAAATGCTTGTGCGAACGTTGTGCAGGAGCTGTGATCACAGACCATGGAGGATGGAAGGCTCGGATGGAAAGCCAACAGACAAAATAATAAAATCATACTACCCTGTCATTACCCAAATCGACTAATGGATATAATTAAATTCTGAAAAATCTTCGAGAAAATCCTAAGAAAATACAACCCGAATGCCCTGCCCCTTTTGAACCACTGCACTTTCTCATGGACATACAATGACCACATAGCCAAAACATTGTATAAACCCGCAGCTGTCTTTCGAGACTTCGAACTTAATGAATGGTTAAACCAGCTGCAAAACAAATGTTTTTGTCACCAACAACGTTTTGCTAAGTTTACTACCTCACTCCCTACTGACCTCCTTCCATAAGAGGAAGCCGCACATGCCATCACTCTAGACATGAACATAATTAACCACAAGGAACTCCAAGCACCGACTTGTAAAGGCCTAAATCACATCCCCCCAGAAACACCCAAGAAAAGTGACATCATGGCAGCAACAGGCCTAGTCTGGAAGAACCTCATAAATACTTTTGAAAAAAATGGAGTACCACTCTCGGCCAAACACACACAAGAGGCAAACCAAGAATTCACCAACATCATATTACGAACAACTGCGAACTGTCAACCAAACAAGGAAACCAACATACACGACCATGCAATCAGACACAAAATCAAATTGTTCCCCTCACATTTATATATTTTGGGTGCCAACAAAGCCCCGAATACACCAGTGTTCATCTGTATTAATCTTATAAGATACCTTGCCCTGCAGAGACTCTCTAGTCCCGACTTTGAACACTGCTCCATCTCTGCTAATGATCTACTCGCCAACCAGAAAGAAGAACTCGTCAAAATCTTTCCCGATATCCCAATTGGAAACAGGTCACTACCATATCTCTTTGCCACATATAAGAAGCATAAAAACTCCTTTCGCTGGCTCACCAATGCGTCTGACACAATTTCCTCTCCTCTTGCTGACCTTGCTGTTGCCATCCTTAAAGCACTAATCAAGGTTGTGAAAACTCACTGTGGATATCTCACGCAACAAACTCTCGTCGAAACTGGTATTAAAGTACCCTACTGGCAGCCCATAGACTCGACAGCAGACTACGTTTACAACATACCCCCGCAGGCAACGACGGTGTTCTCCGCAGATATAACAAGATGCTACGAGACCATACCCACTGATGATAGCTCAGACGGGCTACCGAATGCAATTAAGTTCTTCACAAGATTAGCCTTTCAACAAGCAAGGAAAATAATCGGTAATGATGTACAACTTGCCTTTAAATTCTACTATAAAGGAAACTAACCAACCCCCACATGCGATTGGTTTAACCCCCCCCCCAATGGATATCTCTCCCTTAATAATGAAATGCTTAATGTAATCAATAAATGACTCATTACAAATGCCTACACATCTTTTGGCAACAACATCTGGAAGCAGGTTCCGGGCATCCCCATGGGTGTCAGTTATGCACCGGTATGTTGCAACATCTACTTCTTCAAATACGAATACAAATTCATGAGAAAAATCGCCCACAAAACCAACAGACACCTCCTACACTTATTCCAACACGTCTTCCGATATTTCGATGACTTCCATATCATTAATAACCCAATAATACATGAGTTCCTCAACCCGGAAATCACCAGTACAAGAAAAAAATACTTCCTATACCCTCTGCAACTAATCACCCTAAATGAGCAAACTTATGAGAAAACAGAAATCAACGGCAAAAGCATAGGGACCAAAACCAACTTTCTCAACACAACCATCGAAATCACCAACACTCGCTCTGGTCATTTCAAAACATACAAATACGACAAAAGAAAGGAGTTAAACTTTCCTATCACTAGATTCATCTAAGCACACTCCAACAGACCTATGCAGCAATCCCTTAACCTGATAATACCCCAAATTGTCACAATCATGATAGTCGAATCTGAGCCTCAACATGCAGCAATCGAAATAGAACAAACCATTAATAACTTTGTGCACAACGGCTTCTCAAAACACAGACTGTTAGGAATTACCAAAAAGATCCTCCAATGCCCTGATAATTAGCAACCTTTCCGATGCTACTCTTAAACTGTACTAAGGTGGCTTCAACTCATCCACAACTAATAATTAGTTAATTGGCACCCAGATAGACATTGAATACGTACATATATGTGTATGTAAGCCAAATAAAAACTTCTCGCTTGGTTCGGATGGAAGGCCTACCCCGGGTGGGGTAGGTCCTTAATCCCAGTGTTCAAAACAAAAGTGACTTACCCCACCCGGACCTCCATTACGAGGGAACGGGGAGGGACACACACACACACACACACACACACACACACATGCACACACACACACACATACACAATAATAGTTAAAAATAAAATAATAATAATAATAATATAGTAATAATAATAATATAGTAATAATAATAATATAGTAATAATAATAATATAGTAATAATAATAATAATCAGGGTAACCGGCGTTCGGAACGGGCTGAACGCCTGAACCTGAACGCCCGAACGTATGCGACCCCTTGGGGATGCATTCGGCCGTTTGGGCCGAACGCGGACCCCCCCAAAAAAAAAAAAAAAAAAAAAAAATCATCAAAACAATCTGAAAAGAAGATATGTTATGGAAAAAAATAAATTAAACAATATTTGCCTGAGAATTACATCCGAATTCCTTACCAAATTTAAAATAAAAATAAAATACGGAAAATAAATACTAATAATAAAAATAAATAAAAATAAAAAAAGAATTAAATTTAGTGAGTGCGCTAGCATGTTTTCGACACCGCCATCTTTGGCGATTTTTCATTTTTTTTTGGCATAGCTAAATGCCCTGAAAATTTACAGATGTGTACTTCACATAATACAAAACCCACTAAAAAAGTTTCAAAAAATAATAAAATTGTTTAGACCCCAAACTAAAGTGAA